ATAAGAATATCCTTGAAGAAAAAACATCAACTCGATTAACTCTAATCGGTGATTCACTGTCAACCGTAAGTGCTCAATTCTACTAAACAGCAAACGCTATTAGTGATCAGTTCCACGGCTGATTAAATAATTGGCGTTGGTGAAACCGGCCCAAATGGTGGTTCTACCCGAGAAACATACACGCTTAGCGCTTTTTTTACCTTTTTTTAAAAAGATAAGTTTGTATACGATCACATATACAAAGGATATCATCAACTCGGTTAACCCTAATTCGAACTATAAGAATATTTTTGAAGAAAAAATTAAATCTTATATACAAAGGATATCATCAACTCGATTAACTCTAATCGGTGATTATTATGTAATTTGTAATTTAAAGATACGTTTCATGATGCATTTTAACAAAACACCTTATATTGCTCGTTTATTTGGTCGTTGGTATTTGAATTGAAATATTTTTCTTGATAAAATTTATTAAAATCAACAAATAACGAATTATTTCAATCGGCGCTTTTTTAAAGACACCCTGTATATGACGACCGTATGGTACTATAGAGAAGAGCGTGCATCAGCAAATACTATAGTATCACACACACAATGTATGTATATCTATTCTTTGTCTTAATTGCATGAAGAGATAAGCAAATAGTGTTTAGTAAGAACAGAGGGGGGAGAGGGAGAGAGAGAGGGGGGAGGGGAGAGAGAGAGAGAGAGAGAGAGAGAGAGAGAGAGAGAGAGAGAGAGAAAGAGAGAGAGAGAGAGAGAGAGAGAGACTCTGATACTGCTGATACCATTGATACTCACCACAGATACGGTTTCTTCATCAAAAAAAGAGAAATCCTTGAATGCTTCTTGTCTCGTTAAAGCGACATCAGTAGATGAAGATGACATACTGCCTAAGGTACAACAAATGACCAAGCTATAAACTACGTCTCTTTCGACTATCGCAGATGCACTACTTTCAACTATATCACACGTTCGTAGGAATGAGGACACTCCCGTCTACATATCGGCCGTTTACTTGCTCCGTCTATTCTCATCTGTTACCACCTCCGCCGACAAATACGCAGAGCACATGCGGTTACGCGACTCACGCGGGAATATATAAAGCGGTTTTATAAAAATAAGACACGATAACACTTCATAAATAATATGCTAGTTAAAAATTTATGTAAATCTGATGAAAAGAATTCTCTTGTTTGAAAAAGTGCATGTTAACATAAAAAATCTAATGTATCGGAAGTTTATATAATCTCTTCAGGTTTTTTACTGCCTTTTTTCCGCAGTATCGATTGATTCTCTCGCTGTGCTTACTTCGGGAACACGGCTGTCACCGTGGAAACCTTGTCTCTTGATAGTTATGTGTGATAGAGCATAAATCAATCTGTAAGGACTTCTTACTATTCAAAAGAAATTTGGAGATGACAAGGCAACAGAAGTCGGGCGCGGTAGTCATTGCACAAATAATATAACACTCTTTATTACAATAACGCGCTTACATGTTTCGGCTCATCTTTGAGCCCTCATCAGAAACATAAATCACCTTTATAGATACAATGTATACGTAATAACTATCTTGTTGAGCTCCCTCCGCTACACAAAAAAAATCCTATATTAAAATTAAACTCAGATGAAAGGTACAAAAAAAAGAGAAGAACAATTTTTAGAATATATCACAGATGAAATTTGGAAAACTAATAAATTTAATTCACAATGAAAGAAAGAAAACTCACCATGAACATAAAGCACCATGTTGCAAATAATAAACAACAATTATCTGGTCAAAAACTAGTTTTTGACTTGTTGGCCAGTCGGTGTCAGATTAATCCTCGAACCACACACTTATTTTCGATATCTTTGGACGACACACATGGATCATTCGTGTCCGACTCGATTTTAAGTCTCTTAAAGTGCTCGAAAAATTCTGTAAAAATTAACACATATTCTTTAAGGTCTCTACTAAATTATCCTGCTATGTAAACATTGGAAAAAATGTTTAGAAGAATTATAGAAATTACTTTCTGTACCAGAAAAAGAAAATAATTCAGTTTTAATATAAAAATTGTAACTTTGCTATACATGTACCAAAAAAAATCATTATAGGATATTTTTGTACAGATATCATAGTTTACAAAAAAAAATATTACAGGAGCCAGATGCAAAAAAAGTGCAATTATTTGAGCATCTAAATATATCATATTCTTAATGTGGACAAATAGAGTAATTTCAAAGAAAAAACAGTTTTTGATTTTATTAAAATACAAAAATGATTATTTTTTTTTGCAAACAGAAATATGTAAAAAGTGATTACAGAATATTAAATTTTTTTATAGTATGCATTCGCTGTATATCGGTGATCTGTGGACTTCCCGCATATCGACTTCCCGCAGTGAATACAGCAAAAAATATAGACACGGTAAGATAAGCCTACTTATCTATACAAAAATTGCAAAATATAACTGATTCACTTACTTGTGAAAAAGACACCTTCCAACTACAAATATGGTTCTTTCGGTTCCTCACGCAACTTTGTGACCGTACTGTTCGACAACACATAGAGATTTCTCGTCGCCGTTGTTTCCCTATATTCCCCCCATCACAAAGTTTTTTTCCGGGGGAGGGGGGAGGCACAGGGCCATGTTCACAAGTATATGAAAAATAAAAACTATTAGAAATGGCATGGACACGAAAGATCCAGTGTGTGGTTCGAGGGTTAAGTATATTATTTTTTAATTTTAGTTTAGACGCATGCTCAATTTGCAGACGGACATGGAGGGGCTTCCCAAGGTCTACTTTCCGATTATTGACAGGCTATAAATGTCGACTTGTTTTGGTTTTAGTTAGTCAGCGTCATTCTTGCATAGTAACGAAGTTTTCCTATCTTGACTATCGATCGTTTTCTGATTTTCTTTTTACATTCTAAACTAAATAACGAGTTATCTTTAGAGTTTAAAATTAAAAAATTTTAACTAAAATTAAAAAATAGTATACTTAGTCTGACACTGACCGGCCAACAAATTAAAACCCATACAGCACAGAATGTTGAAAGAATGTTACTGAGATATTGCAATGTTGAAGTGTCAATGTTTTATCAGTGTTGTATCTATATTGATTCTTCAACATTGATTATTAATGTTGCTGCAACGTTGAAATACCATTGTAACATTGAATAAATTATATATCAACATCTATTCTATTTTCTAAAAAATGAACAAAATCAGAATGTCATGTAAACAGAAAATTTAAATCATTCAAATTGATCTTTTGACAAAATTCATTTCTAAACGATATTTATATGCCTAGAATTTTAAATGCCTATTACAGTCGGAGCTGGATCTTCGTTGCTTAAATAATTCAATATTGAATTACTAATATATACTGTATATGTACTTGCATATATACCATATTGTAGTCTTTTTCAAACTGAGCGCCGAATTATTTTTCCGGACTAAACAAATGCAATTAAAACTACTCTAGTAATCGCGAATTAAATTGACAAGTTATTTGCTGCTACCATCAAGCATCATATATTATAAAGATGTTAAGATGTTAAAAACTGTTAATAAGTTTATATGTTTACGCGAGAATTGGTCGCGCGTTTAGAATGCTCGTGCGTGTGATATTGTTTGTTTGTCCGATGCGCGACATCGACTCGTGGTCTTTGTATACATAGCTATATGTTACAATTGAGAGGATGGGTGGAATAAAGGCCTAATTATAAAATCTTAATATTAATAAAAATTAAAATAAATTACTATTTTTATGTTATACCTAAATGGATACAATATTAAATGAATTTATGTAATGTCTCTTTAAGAAGTTCTTGTTATAAATCTTCTCTATTGCGATCAATTATAATACATGGCAAAGCTAATTGCCCGAAAAAGGACGTAAGTAGAATTTTGCCTTTTGTTATACCGCGTAACACGGTATTGGATTCGAGATCCAGCGGGGACGACAATAGGCGGATAATCAACTCACACAATACCGAATAACTTTTGTATAATCACTTTTTATTAATAAACTAGTATCTCTTAGTTAGATTCGTTGTCACCTTTAATCTTAGTATAATTACGTTACAGACCAGGTAACGCGACGCGCTTTTGACTTCTCGAATTGACTCTCGAATGCTTCGCATCTTTTCTTTTTATCTCCTGCTCTTCTCGGCCGTCCTTGCCGAATCAGCGCTTCCTGGTCAGCGTTCTGGTTATCGATCAAGGATGCAACGGCCGAGTTCTTTTAATCGCTTTCGCAATACCAGCCTTCCGATTCCTCTTTTTCTTTCGCAGTATTTATTAATATTATCTTATTACCATAACTCATATTTTGACATATATATACGTGCTTATGCAATGGTCACTTGTGCAATGGCACTCGTGACACTTTATTCCGCCCATCCCCTTAATTATACATCGACTAACATTCAATATTTATAGGCTATCAAAGTAGCAGTTCCAATACGATCAAAGAAGTCAAGCATGCCATGTGGAAGTACAGATTTGGATGGGTGACCGCTTAGGAAAATAAGGAAATTAATTCCTAAATGAGGTAGAAAGCGGTTTTTTTTATTATGTTTCATTAATTTTGTCGTGTATGTTCCGGAATATAATATTAATCAATAATACTTATTTTAATAATAAAATTGAATTAATTTTAATATAACGTCGCATGAGTTGCAATGTCTCACAGACATTATTATTCAACGGACATTAGATTTTGCAACATCTCTTCAACATTGAATCTACATTTCGCGATGTTACTGCAGTGTTCGCAATGTTGCAAATCAACGTTTCTGAGATATTGATTCAACGTTAGTGTGCTATATGGGAAAACTAGTTTTTGACCAGATAATTGTTGTCTATTGTTTGCGATATGGTGTTTTATGTTCATAAGCTTTCTTTTGTTACGTCCAGGCCCCAAAAGTATTTTTATCTTAGTGGAAAGAAGGAATTAGGAGGGGGCCAAGGTAGGGCGCAACTTGTACCGCTTTTTATGGCTTATCGCTCCGTGGACGCGTGCCACAACTCGAAAGCACTTGTGCGAGTCTTTGGTGCGGGTAAACGCAAATACGAAGCGCTGTTACGCCGCCCAAGACAGTGCCACTGTTGGTCCTTATTTTTGGTCAAGGAACTTAATCCTTATAACCAGGGATAGGACCCGTACGATCTTCGAGGTGAAGGAATGAGTCGGAAGGGTTAGAGAATGAAGGGAGACTCAATTTAAATTACAACTAATATTTAATATAACTTAACAATTTATGCATTACAATATTTAGTATACATTTCCTAATTTATAAATTGCATTGTATTATCCTTTTTATCTAATCGCATAGTTAATTGAGAACGGAGATTACGTGAATATGTCTATGTTTTATTATATGGTTGCATATGTGTGTGTGTGTGTGTGTGTGTGTGTGTGTGTGTGTGGGGGGGGGGGGGGGGGGGGGGGAGGGAGAAGAGCGCCTGTTAATTTCGATATAGTGTTCCAAAGATTTCAGGATTTCGTCGTAATCCGTGTCGTCTTCTGGGGGAACGGGGGAATAGGAAATGGGGGTGAATTCGTAATGGGAAGGTGATGGGAAGCTGGGAACGGTGATGGGAGAACATTCCATCAGGTCTATGAGAGGAATTTCAGAACTGCTGGGGGTGAATTCGTCTTTGGGTTTTTTACAAGAGCTAGCCGGTTGGGTGCGGGGGTCCGTTACAGTATTTATGCTCCGGTTAGGAGATGGAGTTTCCTTAAGAAGCACCTCGATCTTCGCTCTCTTCCGACGACCCGCACGATGGCGATTACGCTTGACCATCTACGCATGGAATTCTCTTTAATTTGGCTGTCGTGATGTTGGGAGAGATATGGATTCGGATGGTGAAGTTTTAACTCAAGGAACTGAATATGAGAGTGAGAGAGAGAGAGAGAGAGAGAGAGA